GGGTCAGGTCCCAGTTTGACTGCAGGCGAATCTATTGCCCATACCTCAGCATCAAGTAAATAGTGAAGATACAACGAATGAAAAAAGGGTGCTGACTTGACCGAAATAGAAATAATCTTGCCTGGAATCCCGTCCTGCCTGAAGTCCCACTTGAGTTCGAACCCTGGTTAAAACCTCATGTAGGATCATACTGTGGAGAACAAAGTCCTCTCGGCTTTGATCAGTCCTTCTTTGACCCTCTACATACATTCACAATAGCTTGCGGCATGCGATGTGGCCCTATGCAATAACTTGAGCGATTGAAACGGCCCGAAAAAGATGAATTAGATACATGTTTTCTAGGACAGGCAAATTGGTATCAGAGAGGCGGACGGTGTCATTTCTTTTCATTTCATTTCCCTAGAAGATTATGAAGCTCCAGTTGACTAAGGCCTTCCCACCCTCTGCAATCGGTTACAAGGACCCAGGGTTTGCCCCGGACCGCGCTCATGGTGAGCGCCAGGACTTGCTACTACACCACCTCAGCCCACAACAGCTAGCAAACATACGAAAATGACAAAGCACTGCATGTCTATTATAAAAGTTAATGAGAATCATGAAACCGCCTTTCGGGATGCATCAGCAATGTTGGTGATGAGACGTGGCGCCTCTGCTGTAGGGTTGATTCATTACAGCTGATTCGTAGGTTTCAGAAGTAGTTGTTAAATTGCGCTTCTCCAAAACATTTCTGCGGAGTTAATAAGCTGGGAAAGAGGGCTCTTGAAGAACACCTTATACGGAGCTGGGACTGTCTCCATCCGTGTGAAATTAGTATGCTTGAAAAACTACCGCGGACTTCTTAAGTTTTTCGCAAGAGGTGGTGGCGTCTTCTATCTCATTACTTGTCGACTCATGTTTTGCATGCGTGAGTGCTTTATATGCCCTTCCTTCGCCGCCTAAGGCCTATGATTAAAACCGCTTTTTAAGAAAAATAAAAGATTTCAGAGCATTATTAACCTATTCCGTTAAGTCCTCTTGCTATAATGACATAACAACTCGAATAATTCAGGATTAAAACACCCCCGTAGTAAATTAAGCAAAGAGAAGAATATCACAGGACATGAAGTCAATTGACTGTGATGGAAAATGAAAAGATAAAATCTGAGGAGGGGGATGGGGGTTGAAAGCCAAAGGTATCTCAACTTCACACCGCCAACCTGCCACACTTACGGAAGTCGAGCGAGAGCAAAATTTTCCCTCTGGACCCATTAGCAAGACTTAGGGACATCAGCGGTTGGGGATTTTGGATTGAGTCCATGCGATCTCACCCCATCTTTTTGCGAGCGTTGTTACCACCCTTCCCTTCCGATCATACCCCTACCCTTGCTTACTTTCTTAGATATTCCCAAGTTCTTGTCTCTTTTTCCGGAATTTCCCAGAAATCTCCTTAGTATTAGCCAAAAATTTGCTGTCGAGCGGGGAGAGGGGTAACTAGTACATATGAAACAGGATAAACAACGAGAAGTCAGCAACTTCTCTCAGGAGTCAATCAACTATCAAAAATTTTTTTTCTTAGCGCCCCCCCCTCCTCTCCCCGGCGACCCAATACGACCCCCTGTTTGGGGAATCCCCAACAGCTACGTGCCCTGGGGAGGACTCCGAATCTGGTGAATTTCATGAGAACTGAATAAACGATTTCACAAGAATACTGGCAAAGTTCTCCCTCCAGACGTGCAGAACTTCCAGGCTGACCATGAGCGGGGCAATTACAACCACCAAAGAGGTGCCGATTCATCTGGGAAGGCTGGACCTTATATCAGGTGCGTACAAAGTGCGTATAATCAGTTGCTAATGTTCTGAGAGGTCAAGCAAAGCATAATGTGATTATGACGAGAGGTTAAGGTGCGTTGGCTGGGGATGTGGTCAAAGGGGGATGTGCGAACCCATCGTTGAGAGCGCACAAAGAGTAAACAGAAAAGAAGGTGTACACGAAACGAGAAACGAGGAAACGATCGATAACTAACGAAGAAGAAGTTTCGCGGCAAAGTTATTTCTGCTGAACTTTTCGTACAAGAAACTAGCTCAACAAAGCGAATTGGGAACATTTCCCAACGAGTTTACCGAACACATAGCAGAAATGAATCAGTTTTGAGGTGACCTGAGGGGTCAGAAAACAATAAAAAAGTAACAGGATGAATGCTGACGTGGTCGACGGTCTTTTGGAATGCATCGCGTACCGCTGGGAGAAGAGGTTTTTGAGTATGCAACAGGGCTGGTGAGCAGTTTTGGAAAACCTGTCACTTTGCTCTTAACATCTTGGCCACCTATGGGGCAGTTGGGCGACTTGGGTGAGGCATTTTGCACTTCTACAACCTTCCTATCGACGTGCCGAGCCATTTAGAGAGCTATTTCATGAGCTTTAGAAAAATTTAGCAGGTTTTACCATGGTGGTTGGAAGAGCTTGCCACAAGAATCTATAGGTTTCAACAGAGTGAGACTCGTAAACCGGAAGTAGTGAAGCATTGAAAGTAATGAACCCCCCCCCTGTCGTCGTATGGCACCAAAAACTGAACATGGAGCGGAGTAGGGTTCCAGAACTGTCTTCCGGATCACAGCACGTCGTACGTTTGGGGTTCCCAGCGAGACGGAGGGGAATCGTATTTGGTCGCTAGAGGGAGGAAGGTCGCACTTGCCTTCGAAAAAAACTTTTTGGTCCTTGACTTTCCTCAGTTTTTCTTGTTTCGATAATGCACCATGTCATCCCGCCCCCTTTGCCGCTCGACCACATTTTTTTGGAGTAAGGATGTCGAGTGATTTCCGGCACCGACAAGGTAGGAAGTTGGGAAAATTCGAAGTTCAAGAAGATGCTGGGTAGGATGGTGCACAGGGAATGAGTTCGTACCAGTGGAGGTTTGGAGGAGGCGTATTTTGCAAAAATGTTCCCCAACGGTAGGACGGGGTGTCTTAACTCGGAAGGATCGTGAATCCAAAACAAACAAACGCATGCTTCTACCGCACATTCAGGGCACATCCCAGCGATATGGATAACTGGCCGTTTAGTGGGACTTCTACTCCACCATTGCCCCAAGTACGACCCCATCAAACTAAAGTACAGCCTCACGTATTTGAAAACGGTTTTCTCAAAGCAAATGTGCTTTTCGTCATAAGCCCTCGCGACAATTTAATTCATGTTTCAGCGGTTTGGAAAACGGCCTGGAGTTTTCCCCTACCCCACCTTCTCCCCTCCCCCCCCCCCCCATCCCTCAGTACGTCCGGAGCAACTGCGCGAGTGTTTGGCTCGCTGAAGGTGACAGAGACCGAAAAGGTAGAAAATAGAAAGAACAGAAGAACAACGTCTAGCAGGAGACTTTCTTAAAAGACTATTCAGAGCGAAGGAAAACCAACACATAACCAAGGTCTGTGAGTGTGCGTGCGTGTAATTGTGCGTACGCTTTGTGTGTTTGATCTGTGCGAGTATACATACATATAGACACGTAGCGATGGTGGGTTGGTAGAGTCGAGACAACAACGCAAACACTCGCCACTCGATCTATTTAGACAAGGTGTTAGATAAGATAATTGGGTAAGGTAAGAAGAGATGGCAAGTTTCCGAGTGAACTTGTACTCTCAGCGGTGTACCCCGCTCAGAACTTTCCTCGCACAGAACTTGCGGACTTTGGAGTAAAAAATGATAAAGTCCTCACTCTTGATCATTACCTTATTTGGTCGCGGCACGCATTCCCACTTCCAGTCAGAATCGTATCGGCATGACCGGCAGCCGCCGATGTACAAACCAGCGTTTTTATCCTATTAATCCTGGTCAGACGAACCTGGTACCAATTTACCGTCCCCGAGGGATGGAAGGTTTGGTTGGTTAGGGGGCGCATTAGCCAATCAAGCTGATCCGGGATCTAACCCCCCCCCCGGGTTCGCGCGCATGGTGGTCGTGCCACTTGCCATCACATCTCTTTCGCCTCTGGCATGTGAAATTATGAATTTCCAGATGCTCTGACCTACCAGTGATGGAACCAGTATAAAACCCACGGAATACTCCCTGACTGAGGAGCCAGGCTTGGACGAGTATTCGTGGAAGCGAGATACTGCTGCGTGGGTGAGGGATCAGAGACAGGAGATTAGGGAACGGAAAGGCGAAAATGAACGAGACGGTCAGAGCCAGTCGTACCCGGAAAGAACGCAACGCGTCATCTCCATTTATGAACAGACCACTGACATATATCGTTGTAAAAGAGCTGAGACAAATTCTGCGGGTGAGTTTTCTTCGGCTTGGCAACGCCCTCGTCATTGTTGAGCTGCGTATGTGGGGCAAATTTGAGGTTGTGTACCGCATGACCCGTACCTGGTAAAGCCTGTCATATAGTCAAGGCAGCATGGCACGTACTGCCTTTGGCACCCAAAATCGCTTTGAAAGCCTATGAACGGGAATGTTGAACCTTGCCCCCGGAACAGGGTTAAGTAGTAAACAAGTGAGTGCTGGCTCCTACAGAGTTTCATCTTTGGCACACTTGGACAAGTTTTCAAAGTGAGAATTTTCCACGTTAGGTCTTTGATCTTATCAAAAGGGGTGAAATAGCCGCTGATCAATACCTCCTCGGGATGCGTCACGCATTCTACTTCCATTCAGAATCGTAGTGGCCCAGTGAGTGCGATGTGGCCTACACAAGACTTGTAAGGACCAGTGAAAGTCGTATTCCTATTTTTTTCGCACTGATCCGGTATCAGTTTAGCGTCTTCGGATGATAGAAGGCCTGGTCCGCTATAGCGAAAGTCGGCCCGAAATTTTATCCCCGGACCGCGCGCGAGGTAAGCGGGCCTCTTCCCACTATACCACTCCCGTGCGAATGGAATTATGATATCAAAAGCTATCCAATCTCATTTCTGTCAATTTTGTGCCCTAATTCTTTTTTTCTATAGGAAATGACTCGTGAGTAAGATTGACACACTCGTTCTCATAGTCCGATCACTGAAATGAAGATTCTAGATTTTTCTCCGTGAACGTTTCCATGAATCCACCAATGTATAGGGAATATCGGGAGGTGAAAGAGGTGAGTGACGTTCGTGAGAACCGCTTTTATACAGTTGATGTCATGATACGATACCGTTATAAAGCGGATCAGTAGAGATTTCGAGCTTTACAACTTCTTCCTTTCGCTCAATCAGTTTTTTTTTCATGATTCTTGTGTGTACATTCCAGTAGGTTCACAGTGGCGTTCTTAGCATCGAATATACGGCTGACATCGCTGCATTTAGTCGGGGCCTATTAGGGGAGGGGGCATGGAACGAGCTCAACGGGCGCGTTTTCTACCACTGGTTGTTTTCCCCTGAACTGATCACCATTGGTGGAAGACGCAGTCCAAGAGCACATTTCACGCCTCCTGGTACCGCGCGACTGACTGCGGCGATCAATTACAGTTTCCTTGTACAAGGTTGAGGATCGACAAAACAGTGCTACCTCAGATGATGGCGTTCTTTGTACCCAGTTTTGGAGCCGCACAGATACATATACTTATCCTAATAGGTTACCAGTGACAGCGGCTCTGCAGGTCTCCATGTTTTTCTAGCCTGCGTGAGAACAGTACTATAGACAAAAACTGCACCCTCCTGCAAAGATCCTAGCCCTTGCCATGTGCAACGTAAATGGGTCTGCAGCCGCAGTAGTATACCATTTTCTCCTATCAAAAGGGCGCTGAGAGGGAGCTTAGGGTAGTGCCTCAAGGGTGCCGTCTGCATGCTCGCCGCCGCACTATCCTCGAAATGCAGCACTTGCCGTTTCATTACCAACTCCCGCAAGCGAAACGCATAGGGTAGGAACTACCGGCCAGTGAGAGAGCGCCGAGAGTAGCGCGTGTTGACTAGTGAGAGCGCGCAAGAGAAGGTTAGCGCTCTGTTTTGCGATTGTTCGGCGGCGTGTGGCTTGCCGTGCATTTTTGAGCGGAGAAAGTGGCACGCTACGGCAGCTGGGAACCCATTCGCCTCGCACATCACAGACTGTCTCCGGAAGCAAGTGTAGAGAAGTTCGACTGTTTGAGTTGAGTGGAAGTTTGAGCCAGCCACCGAATCCTTTGTTCTTAATGCTACTTCAAACTTGGAGAAGCGTCCTGAACCGCCCTGCTCACGCCGAGGGTGGTGCATTGCAACCACACTGAGACAAACCGCACGAGGACCTATTTCAGTGTCCCCGCAAAGGCTTTGTAGAAACTCCCCGAATGAGCCGTAGAGGAATGTTGGGGGCAACTCTCTTTCCGACAAAAGCATCCACCACGGTACATCATCGTGATGTGTGAGGTGGTGGTGTAGGTACGACCCCCCCCCTCCGAGAGAGGGTGTCAGTACGACCCCCTCTACCTAAATGAGGGTCTCGGTACGACTCCCCCCTCCCCAGAGAGAAAAGTAGGACCCCCTACGTGTTTCACACAACGATGCTGTGCCCTGTGTAGCACACAAAATTTTAAGATCTTAGGAAAAGTTCCTAGTGAGCCTCCCTTTCAGTCCTCTCAATAACCTTCGAACAGTTTCAGCTGGTTGATGAAACGATACAAAGCGTGGTAGGAGCTGCTTGTTCCTTCGAATCGGATCGAGCGACAGTGATTGAAGTCGGGCAAGAAACTGAGGCCGATGAAGCGGAGGATCCAGCGTCACTGCCAGGAACGGATGCAGAGGACTCGGTGAGAAAGTTCTTTCGATTCCCGTTACAGAGAGTGACCTGCAGCTCACTCACAGCCTGGCTATTTTATGCCCAGGTGAAGCTGGGAGAGAGTTCACAGGAGCCTGTTTCCACCTTTTCTGGCAGATTTATACAAATGCAGTGCTGGAGACTGCTAAAACTTCCAAGCCAAACCTAAGCGACAAATCTGAGCGAAATCTTCCTTAGCTTCTAGGATAAAGCCTGCATCCCAGTTGAATGTTGTTTATCCGTTTAACGCCTATCTTTCTTAGAAATGCAGACTATATGTGAGAACAGATTCATGACGAATGTTTGGCGCGGAAGAAATGTAAGAGACAGGAAAAATGAGGGCAGACACAGATCTCGCTGTGCTTTCCTAAATTGGGGAGAGCTTACTCCTTTTCAACCGGCAGGAGGCCAAGCCGATGGAGATAGCGATCGGTCCTCCTCACTTCGATTCAATATCACTTTAGTGCGCCTACCACCTAATGTTAACGTTAGCCGAGACAGAGTAACGCGTTATGGATTCAGTGTCTTACCCTCCCGTACTGACAGATCGCTTTCGCTCTCGAGTTGATCTCATGCTAAGTTTATTTTCTGAAAAGTCTATTTGTGGTACCTGCGCCATCCTCTTCGACCTTTGACATGAAGGGCACATTCCATGTTATGATGTGTGGGCGGTGACTAAGCGTTCCTGCTCTCTCTTGCACTACCTTCGTTCCAACACGCAAAGATGAGGGCGCAATGAACCTGGGTCTTCGCACACCTCATTATGCCGGAATGCGCCAATTAAATTATAAATCGTTTTGAATTCGGAATACATATGAATAGACTTTGGTCAAAATGCGTTTTATTAGGGAAAGCGACCTTTTCTGATGATGTCTTCCCTCTCAGAGGCCGGGCGTAGTATGGCTCGAGCGCACTGGATTCAACTTCACAAATTAAATAGACAGGTAACTCTGCCGAGTATTTTATACACGGTATTTTCACTGTTCTAACGAGATTTTGAGAAGCGTGACTGAGCGTACCAGTGTGCTCGATTCCAATTCCTCGCCTGCCATAAAGGACCAGCTTTGGAGCGCGCAGCGCATCATACCGACACCAAGACTGCAGTTACTTTGGGACACGGTTAACATTCGAACGAATAAATTAAAGACCGCAAATGGAGTTCTGGGTGAACATGCGCGTATCAGGTATCTTAGCCTAGTCCTTTTTCCTAGCTTTACGAGTAGGTGTATACCAAATTACTGTGTTTCGGAGTGAGAGGGCCACGGAGAAACCAGGCAATTAATTGCATGCATTATAGGTGGCACATGAGTTTTCACCGTTGGAAATCCCATTAGCGGAGCGGGCGTTTGCGTTTGGTTAGCTGTTGGTTGAGCGGAGTTCGTACGCCGACTTTGACAGAAATTTTTACCCGTATCCGAGAAGAATTTCGTTCGTCCAGGTGCTAGATTTTCGTCTCCTGTGTGATCCTCTGCCCCTTCGCCCCTGCCTCCGCGGCAAAATTTTCAAAAAATTATGGAAGAATCGCTGGGGAAACTGGAGAAAATGGTAGAGAACTGAGAAATTTTTGAAGACCATAGGAAGGATGGGGTTGTAACGGATGAAGGATCTGGAGAAGGGAGGAGGTTTCGGGACCATTTGACATAGCCATTTCTCCCGTTCTCGGATGCTTTAGCGTCTGCCGTCGATCTTTTAAAGTTTCGCAATCAAAAGATGAAAAGCGCCAGCATTCCAGGCACCTCTCGTACAAAAAAATGCTCTACTCTATATTGTGGAAAACTACAAACATATCCGACCTTTATGGCAATTCGGTTTGAAAATTGATGAGTCGAACAAGGAGTGGAAAACGTTGCTCTTCAACGACTTTTACTTTAGGTAGGACTTTTTGCTCACATTACCTATTAGTATTTCTCCAACAGTCCAAACCGTATGTGGAGAACTATTGGCGCGCGGTACTCGATGGCTGACAAATACTTCAAGGGTGAACTCGTGAAAAGGAGAAGGAACGATGCGATTCCCATACAACTAACACAACAACAACGCAACAAGTGGCCAGCTCCACAATGTTGTACACACTATATCGCGGAGATGGGAAAGGCGTGGCCTCGTAGTGCATTTGAATATGTTGACGACTAATGGGACATTTTTGTTTTAGGGCAACTTTTATCATGTCCTTGTCCAGCACAAGAGAGGTTCACAGTTGTCTCAAAAACTGAAGGTGAAAGGAAGTTGGGCATTATTCACATTTAAAGGCGTAAGGCACGATAATTGGTGCTCGGTTTTGCAGGGGTACTATATAGTGGGGAAAAAGGCAAAAACGCGAAGTGGAACGGATTAAAAATCTGCAAAAAACCTTTCTTCTACACGACTCAGAAAGCAATTCTGGACGAATTTCCCCGTTGGCATCGGCCAACCACCACGAGCATCAGTATCGGTCGGAGATTGGCGTCCGGGTCTGTATGCGCAGCTTGACAGGGTACCCTTATAGCTTGATAGGCTCTATAGAGGCACCTCCCTCAGAAAGAGCGCCACGCAGCACCTGCTCAAGGGTGCCAAGTTCGGTCCTGCTAGGCGTATGAATCCCACCCATCTTGAAGATTTATCGTACCACTTCCTTTTGAGTGCCCCAATCATCTAGAATGTGCCAACTCCTAACCGATTCTTTCCGCCGAAAGTATACAGTGATTGAAAATTTGCCTACAGAGTAGATGGAAACGAGTAGTATCACGATGCAAGCCATGAAGGATGGTCTCTGAGCTCGCGTACCCCGCCGCGGTCAAAATAGGCGTTGTCATCGCTATAAACAAGGGACAGGCTTTTGAGACCAGCGGCCCTATATTCGTTGTTCAGTGGACTCGAATGCTTCAACAATTTTCCTGGTTGCAATTTTGATCCCGTAAAAAATCCGTGAGGATCTGGCTTGATTCCGAAGAGATGGGGCAGTGAAAGGAACTTAGTTTAGTGTCGAAGAATGAATGAGTTATCAGAGGAGGCTTCCGATGGTCTTTTTCTTTCGAAAACACTTTACAATCAGAGAAGGAGAGCATTATCAAAGGTTTTGTATCTGCAGAAGCAAAGTCGCTGAGGAAGGATCTTCTTTCGAATAGGTCCACGAATTCCGTGGCGCATCTGTGTTTTATACGCTGGTGAATAAGGAACTTTCCATTCAGGCATCATAGCGCTTCAATTCAGTCCGCTATAACGATGACTATGGAGAACATGGACGATCGGGATTGCCTGAGAAAATTGCTGAAACGAAATCGGCGCCCATCACTATTTTTATGATGCATGTGAACCACATTTAGAGGTTTGTAAAGTGACTTATTGAAAAGAAGAAAAATAGATGTGATTGCTTCGCCTGGGGGTTGGGGGGGTATTCCGCGCTCCATTAACGGAAACAACATTTGTTTCCGTGAATATTATTTTCGTAAATGGGGCACGTAAATGTAATGTTTCAAAGGCTGGCGCTACCTGGCGCCACCACATTTCTCATATAAGTCGATGAAAACATGTATAGGAGGGTTATCTGGTATCCCGATCACAACTATAACATTTATTTTCAGTGCCAGTGCTAACTTTTGGCATTCTAACGATCTGCGCTTTGCTAGGGTGACCCTGGTGGAAGAAAACCACTCGTAAGTGTGTGAACACGCCCCGACTCCTGAAGGCAGGGTACAGCATCGTTGTATGAAGCACATGGGGGTCGTACTTTTCCGCTGGTGACGGGGTCGTCTTTGGTCGTTGTTGGGAGGGGGATTCTTATGTTTCTTTGAGAGAAATTTGCTGCGTTGGGAAAATATTGTTCCCGGTTGTTGAGTTTTTGTGATTTTTCCCTGTTTTATGTGTACTATATACCCCTCCCTCCCCCCCCCCGTTCGTCAGCAAACTTCATAGGAAAAAGCAGGAAAATCCCCGGATCCTCGGGAAGCTCCGGAAAAGTGGTAGGAAGTTGGGGGAAAGCCAAGAAATTTCCCCTTTCCACATTCGCTATATTCCCCCCCCCGGGCTTGATGAAAACTTTCTGGGTGAAAAAAACTGGAAAATGTGGGAAATTGGTAGGCAGGGGTACGGAAAGGGGGGGGTCGTACCGAGCTCTCCCTCGAGGGGAGTCGTACTGATACCACTATTCCACACATCATGATGATGTTCCCTGTCTGAAAGAACTAGTAGGGACTAAATATAGTGAAGGGCCCGCTCATACAAAAAGTGCTAATTCCAGGTGTTTGAACAAGCCATGCTCCACGTGTTACGAAATGGCCTGGTGGGTGACTGTAAAATGGACGAGGAAACCGAACAATCGTGGGTAGAGGTATGACTGTTTGATAGTCGAATCAGTAGTATTTCTGGATGATTTGCAGTATTGCAACTGACTGTAACTCCAACATTTAAGTTAATAAATTAGGTGGAATGATACGGTACTGGATGGTTTGAGTAAAATACCTTTCAGTTTCTGAAAGATGTGAAGACGTTCATGGGAGAAGGCATAGCAATTCAACGAAACACTTACTTGCGAGAGTGTGCATGACACCGATGGAAATCAACGACATACGGTAACATGATTCTCTCTAGGGTTGCGTTCAGACTTTGCGATGACGCGTCGATGCACGTTATCGCGAAGCTTAATGAAGTAAAGAGCGGTTGAACTTAAAGGCATATGGCACGATAATTTGGTACTCGGTCTAAAATGCTAGCAGGGTAAAAAACGAAGCAAAACGGTCAAAAACTTGCGAAGAAAACCATCGTTCTTAATGACTCGAGAAGCAATTTCGGACGAGTTTCCCAGTAGGCATCTTGCCAATACCACCGCTACGGTAGGTACGGCCCTTCGCTTCATATTCTACTTAGCAAATGAAGCAATAGGAGCATCACGTACGGTCGTCCATTTGTGGCGGGCGAACGTGGTGGGCGTCCGGGTTGGTATGTTCCACATTGATAGGGCCTCATAAGAGCGTCTTTCTCGGCAAAGTGCTACGCAGCGCCAGCTCAGGGGGTCAGAGTTGCGCAATCTCGTCCTGCCAGGCGTATCAATCATACTCCTTAGGGACTTATAGTGCCAACTGCCTTCAAAGGCCCTCTCCATGAATATATAGGTTGGTTATCACGCTCAGAGATGGTGGTGTACGTATTATCTTTTGCAAAATAAGCCAAAATATTCCAAACTTACTGGAAATCTTCAGTATAGCCATCACCTTCAGGGCGTTTTTGGGGTAGGGTATACGAGGAAATGCGAAAAAAAACCTGCGTTAAAGGCAGTTGGCACGATAATTTTGTACTCAGCCTAAATGCTAGCAGGGCGCTGTCTAGTGGGAAAATGGCGAAAAAACGAAGTGAAACGGTCGAAAACTGCGAAGAAAAGCCTTCGTTCTTGAAAAGCAATTTCGGACGAGTTTCCCGTAGGCATATTGCAAATAACCGCTACGGTAGGTACGGCTGCATGTATGTACTCATATATCCATTCAGCACCGCGGCCGCTTCATACCAATCCCTTCGCTTCATATTTTACTTCGCAAAAAAGCAATACGAGCATCAGGTACGGTCGTCCATTTGTGGGCGGGCGGGCGTGGTGGGCGTTCGGGTCGGTATGTTGTAGCCTTGATAGGACCCTTATAGGGTACCTTCCCAGGAAAAACCGGTGCGCAGAATTCCGCCCTGCTAGGCGTATCGATCCTACTCGTCTTCAGAGATTTATCGTGCCAACTGCCTTTAAGGAGTTCTTCTTGTTGTGACATATCACATTGTGCGGTATCCTTCCTTCCCCATGCTGTACTCACTTTCATCGCTTCATGTTACTCCTAACTTACCGCAGCCCACATGTGAAGTTTTCCGATCAGTCGAGGGGTGTGATAACCTGTGCTAGGAGGGACCACCTGGGCGCAGATAGGATGGGAGGGCCCTCCTTCTCGCGCGATTTGGTGAATGTGAAGTGGGACCGAGATTCCACACTCATGGCAACAAAAAACCTCGAATTTAACTCCGATCATGCTTTAAGCTTCCTCCCAAGCACTTGGAATCCATGAGAATCCCTGTGGTAGGCGTAGCTGCGTTCTTCAACTGAACTGAAGGTGGCTGCGCTTTGGTGAGACATGTTCATTTCGACACAATGTGGTCACGTCGCTGCCCAACAGTGAACAAGATGACAGTTGCCTCAAAGTGAAATAT